AGCGACTCTCCATTTGAAGTAGGGGTGGGCGATATGACGATTTAAGACCGTGTTACGATCTACACCTCTGACGATCTGTCATTATTAAGAGACCGATTTATCAGGATCCACAGAACTGCAGTGCTGCTGTATTTCTACCAAAAAAAACCTTCACAGCTAGAATAAAATCCGAGGGTTTGACGTTCGTCCATTAGTTTAAAAATCAGTTAAGCCCCCCACCCCCCACGCTACGAGTTGCCCAGCCGTAAGTATTTTTTTTAACCTTTATTTAACCAGGAAGTCCCATTGAGATTCAGAATCTCTTTTTCAAGAGAGACCTGGCCAAGGTAGCAGCCAAACCACAGGAAGTTCATACATATTTACAACATATTACATTTTGCATAATAAAAAATAAAGAATTAAAAAAATAAAAAATAAAAAAATAAAATCAGAGCAGTATGTTAAAACACATTGAGCATCTCAAGAAAAACAAGCACATATCTCCATCACTACATTCTTCATGGTGGCTTTAAATTCATTAATGGACACCAGAGTTTCTAATTTGAGCTCTTTCTGGAGGTTATTCCATCCCCAAGGTGCAGAGTAGGAGAATGCAGTTTTTCCCAACTCAGTTGAAGCTCGGGGTACATTAAAAGTAACCACTGAGAGGATCGCAACTGATAACTACCGGAACTCACAGAGAGGAGGTTACAGAGGTACAGTGGGAGTTTACCAAGATGTACCAGTGCTGTTTTCTACGAATTGTTAGTGATGTCCAACCAACTAGATCATAAAGAATGCAGTGATGAGTAAGGGACTTAGAATTTGTAATGAATCGTAATGATGCATGGTACACTGAGTCAATATGACGCAAGATGGAGGATGCAGCATGCATGTACAATATATCTCCATAATCAATCACAAACAAAAAAGTAGCTTCTACAAGTTTCTTCTTAGCACTGAAGGTAAAACACCGCTATTCCACATATGTACGCTGAATGCAGAGGGAAAGTTTCACGCACGTCAGAGCCGTATTTGAGCTTAACCATACATTTCATCAGCAACTGGGAGCTATGTTATGCACCACTGCAGACAGCCTATTTTCCTGATCATATCATCATAGATTG